GCCCTAGGCGTTGTGCACCCGGGGGTACTCTGCGCCGACGGGTACAGTTCGCCTCCTACACCGGCCAGACCCCAGACTCATTACACGGCGGGATTCGGTGTGGACGGGGAGCCCTAGCCCTAACGGCTCCGGGCCGAGACCGCCAAGACGGTGCCCGAAACGGCCGCCGAAGTGGCCGCCGAAGTGGCCGCCGAAGCGGCGACGGTCTCGTACTCGGGGAACGAGTTGGGAAAGCACCGCCGGGGGACGCCGTCGTTGTCGTCGCCGCGGAAAACTCGGAACACGTCGCACTCCGCCAGGCGGCCTCGAGTAAACTTGAACCAGGCTGGGTTAAGTTTTCCCGAAGACTCGAATTTTCACTCTGATTCGGGTAGCTCAATCCGCGACGAGTGAATTCCCCCCGCCAGTGGCGCTGCATCGGATCGGCAGCCGCGCCAAGCAATAAGGCCCCGCAGCCCTCCGTGCGGACGGGCCGTGGAAAGGGGGGGGGGGGCGTCCAGTGGGGCGGCGCTCTGCCTCCACCGGCCAGGTGACTCGGCTCCAGCGCGGCTCCAGGTGCCTCCAGCGAGGTAGGCCGCCAGGTAAGTCAAAGAGGAGAACGGAGGACCAGGCCCGCAGCCCGGCGAGGAGGTGGCCGCGTCGCACCGCCGTGCGCCGTCCAGGTGGGCAGGGGGTGGCGTGGAGCGCGCCGCCACCCCTCGCCGCGCCGCCCCTCTCGATCCGCCCCTCTCGCCTCCCCCCCACCCCAGCACGGCACAGCCGCGGCCCGCGCGGCCCGCGCCTCGACACCCAGCATTGCCATAGCCAGGACGGGACGCGGGCCAGGCCGGGACGGGGCCCTAGCCCTGAAGGAGCTGCTAACTCGTTTACAGAAGCTCAACTTTCACCCGGCCAGCGCCGCTTTACTGTCTGGAATTGCTCTGCCGGCGTCGCTGCGTCGCCGCGCGGTGAAATAGGAACGTTATTAGGGCGGCAGTGCGCGGCGGCGGAGGCGCGTAAACAGGTCTGTCTCTCTCGCACTCCAGGGGCGAGCCGGCGAGCCGCATGGGTGCGAGAGAGACAGAGCGGCGAAACTCCGGACGAAACGGTGGCGGTGCAGCCATTGATGCGATACGGGCCTCCTCCATTATTCGGATGATCAATAGCGCCTCGGAACAGTCCGCGCCGCGCCGCGCCTGCAACCAACTCGTTAACGTCTGCCGAAGGCCTCGGCGCCTCGCTGCCTCGGCCTCTACCCTTTGGCTAGGCGCTGCGCGCGCTGCGTCTCTGCTTCCCCTCGCCGCGCCCCTGTCCCCGCCGCCGCCGCCACGCCTCTGGCCGCGGGCCTCAACTTCCTGGCATCGATCACAAAGAGACCGTCCTGCTGCCGGCTCCATGATTACCTCCCCGAGGACAGATTCCTCCCTGCGCCCCGCGGCGCCGCAGCACCGCACTGTAACACGTCCAGAGCGAGAGAGCGGGCAAGCGGCGGCCCAGGTCGGTATTTGAACCCGGGACAGGGCACTCTGGGGTGGAGGCGTGTGGCCACGCCATTGTAAGGAACGTGTGGGATAGAACACACTCGCTGTGCGCGCACAGCCGCAGCCACCGCAAGGGTTGGCCGCGGTACGCGCTGCGCGGGGCTACGTGCCACGCCGGGCTAGTCCGGTGAATAGACCACTGTGGGTGGACGGGCCGAACGGCCAGGTTTCCCTCTGATATTCCAGTTACCGACACGCCACGCTACGCCACGCTGCGCTGCGCCGCCCGCCGGGCGGTCCACGAGACAAAGACCACCCGAAAGTCTCGCAACCAACCCCCCGCCGAAAGGGTTGATTGGAACGCGGAAAACAAAAGACGTTGTTGTGGTAATTAACTTTGTTCAAGAGCCTAAACCTTATAGCTGCAATCGAAAATCCGGTGCCCGCAACCAAAAGCTGGTAGGCACGACGAAAAATTCGTACAAGAACAAGCAGGTTTGTTTGTCGTCGCACAAGTGCGTGGTCCTCTACCAACCAGGTTTTGGTTGCAGTTATCAGATTTTCGACCCCAGCTCGGTTCCAGTCCATCGAGCAGAGTTGAACACCTCAACAAAGTCTTTTTTCCGTGAAGGTGTGTAGACTGATTGCGTTGAGGTGGGGGTGAGAATAGACACGGGGTGGGGGTTGACTCGGGGTCGGCTCGGTGCTCTGCAGGGCAGGGCTCGGCAGGGCGGCGCTGCGGTAGACAACAACATGCTCGCCGTGCCGGACCACTGAGCAATTCTATCAATTGGAAGGGAAAGGACGGGGCCTCCAAGACGAGGCCTGAGTGCCGGCCTCCAGGACCAGCCTCCAGGACCGGCCTCCAGGACCGGTCTCGAGGACAAGCCGTGAGGGCTGGCCTGCAGGCCCGGCCTCCAGGATCGGCCTCCAGGACCAGCCTCCAGGACTGGCCTCCAAGACGAGGCCTCCAGGACCAGTCTCCAGGACCGGCCTCCGGACCAGTCTCCAGGCCAACATCTCAATAAAGCGTGGTGCCGCACCAGGCCAAGGCAGGCCCAGCGCCGCACCATGGCCGCACCGGGGCGAGCCAGTCGCCTGCAGCCAGTCGGCGCGTCGGCGCGTTTGTAAACATGTCAGGGCACTACATGGAGGGCTCGGGCGTGACGCGGCGGGAAGCGGGCGGCGGCCTTAGCCTCGGCAAGCCGCGAGGATCTTGGGGGATCCTGACAGCGACACGCGCTGCGCCGAGCAGCGCCGCAGCGCCGTAGCGGAGTCCGGGGGCTCTCGACGACCAGCGGGGGCGTGGCGGGGACGCGGCGGGGACGAGGCGGGGACGCGGCGGGCCGAGGCAAAAGTGTGTAAATCACTGTCAGGGATAAGGGAGCACGGCATAGCATAGCGTGGCGGGGCGGGGCGGGGCGGGGTGGGCCGGCCGGGCCGTGGCGGCCGCTAGGGGAGCACTCCGTCCCTGTTTGCCCCGGTCCTGCCGATGGCAAGCCGATGGCACAGATGGACACGTCTCTTGACACGAATCCAGGACCGGAGCCGAGCCCGGCCCGGCGACTTATGCTGCCTGCTACACGCGTCGTCCGACGACGGTCCCGACTGATGGGAAAAGCGGCCCGCCCGGCTGGGATTCGAACCCCGGACCGTGTCGTGCGCGGTGCGGTGCGCCGAGTTATTAATTATTTGCGCCAGTTCGCTACACTGCGATCCAAGCGAGGTGTGGAGCGTGGGAAGGCGGTGCGGGGGACGGCGCGCCGACGCGCGAACCCGAGCCGAGACGAGATGAGTCCGTGCTGCTGTAAAATTATTGTCCTGGAAACGCGAAATTCTACTTTGCAACAAATTTCAACTCGGCAAAGTCGCAGCGCAAAGCAGCAGGGAAGCGGGGCGGGGCGGGGCGGGGCGGGGCGGGGCGCCGAGGTCGCGGATGCCGAGAGCGACACAGCTACTTCCAAGACTGCGGGATGAGCGGCGTTGTTACATCCTGAGGGGGAAGGGGGGATGAATCGGGGATGGCACATGGTGTGTGTCTGTGTGTGTGGTTCAGCGCGACGAGGAGCAACGAGCTGTTAACGACCCATCCATCCGCCTTGCCCGCCTGCCTGTCTGCCTGCCTGCCTGCCCGTCCGTCCGTCCGTCCGTCTGTTAGTCAGCGATTTTCCAGTCAAGTGTCAAAGCGTCGCCCCGTCTCCCTGTCTGCAGCCCCCCAAGTGTGCCGCGTTGCAACGGAGGCGCCATCATTCGCACAAGCTGGCTCCGGAGGTGGTCTCCACGTACACCAGTGTGTGTGTGTGTGTGTGTGTGTGTGTGGGGGGGGGGGGCGCCGCCCCCGGGGGTTCCGCAATCACACAATAAAGGAACCATAATCATCGTCCCCTTCCGAAGGTGCCGCCAAGGGGTGGGGTGGGGTGGGGGAGGAGATTGATATTGTTGCCTAAATCATAACCCCCCCCCTCCTCTCCTCAATGGAGCAGAACCATTACCGTCGCTTAGCGCTTAACTTTTTATTTCCTGATTAACGCTTTCTGTTTGGAACACCGCGTGGCCGCGGCGGAGCGAGTGACTGGCAGGGCTGGGCCGGCAAGGCCTCGCGGGCCTCGCGCACGGGGACGACGGGGACAGACAGCGTAAATCACACAGCCGCCGCAAAAAGGAGAGAAGGCCGCCGCGCCAGACTTTCGGCTGCCTAATTTGCTGGAATGAGGTGGGCGCGGCGAGGCGCGGCCTGGAGCCTCCACGGGGTGCCCGCCCCGCCCCACGGCCTTGCACGTCAACGCCCCATAATCCACAAGGCCGCCTTTTCTTGACGAGTCGCGAGTCCCGGACCAAAGTCCCCGAAAGCCTACTCAATTATTTCCAGAGGCCGCGTCACGGCGCCACGGCCCCGCACACATGATCCCTGCCGGCAAGGGCACGACCGCTCACACTCCACGTGCCCGACACCTTCATGTAAACCCTTTTTCTCTTTCCGCTTCCAGAGAGCAGCGGGCGCACGATACTTCTCTCGGCCCGGCGGCGTGTCGCTTCGGCCTGACCATCCATTTTGTGGGACAATTTCCTGGGAGGGGACCGGGGGAACGGGGAGGGGGATACAGGGAAGCCCTCGCTGATACGGGCCGAAGCGCTCGTCTGGGTCCATCCCAACATATGCCGTGTGGGAGAGGATTTGAGGGAAGCAGGAAAAGCATCGAGGGGGCGGCAGGCGTGAGGCGGGCGGCAGCGAGCGCGGCGGCAAAAGGACAAGAAATGGAATGCTTCGATCACTCGCTGGGCGTCGCTGCGCAGTGTGTTGGAAGACCGGCGCAGCGGCCAAAACACTGGATGCGTTTTTTGAGCTTCAGCAGAGTCGTTAAACAGGACTGGAACCACCAATGGATTCCTCGTTTCGAGAGTACAATCCATTGGTGGGGTCACACATTCGGCTCAAAACGCGTCCGTAATTTTGACCGCCTCCACCGGTCTTCTGGCCCACTGTGCCCTGGGCGTCGCTGGGCGCAGGCTTGTTTCTTCCCAACCCATGCAGTCACTCACCACGTCGATGATGTGGTGCAGCGACACGCCGAAGGTGACCTGCAGCGGCATGGAGGCGTTCTCCACGGGCCGCACCGACGCGTCGTACCGGTCCATGAGGTAGCGCGTCAGCTGGTACTCCATCTCGTCGCACAGCCCTGCAAGAACGCAAACACGTCAGATAAGAGACCAGCCAATCAAAAGGGTGCGTGTGACTTCGAGTGAATGTTCACTGAGGTTCCAAACGCTACGAAGCACGTCGTGCAATGCACTGAGAAATCGCACCATACGCGCAATGCCTCAGCCATATTGCACCTTACGTGCAATGAGTCCCGAAAATGCCCTATGCTTATGCATGGGCATGGGAAGGCATTGCACTTCATGTGCAATGCTTTTGCACTGCACCAGTTGACGCTATATTCATAGCGTTTGGGTGCTCAGTGTTAAATAAATGGCGCAGGCGTTCACGGCATGGTGCGTCGAATGCAAGGTCCGTGGTTCAACCCTCAGCACTACTCCAAGCCTTCCATAAGACTCGTGTTTGAGTAAAATACTGCCAAGCCAATCGCTTTTTAATTTCCTCCCTTTTTTCTCCAAATCTTCTCCTGGAAGTCCCTGCTAAGAAAAAGCACTCCGACAGCTAACTAACTCCTCGCGGCGACACGGGTACGCTTCGGTTGGCACGAGGCAAAGTGATGCTTCCCCCTCCCCTCATCGGAATCCTCGCCGGCCATAACTCCGTCTGTCTGCTCCGGAACACGGCTCGTGCCCCCGGCGTGGCGGCGGGCGGGGCGGGGCGGGGCGGGGCGGGGCGGGGCGGGGCGGGGCGGGGCGGGGCGGGGCGGCGGGCCCCGGGGAGGAATGCAAATATAATAGCGTTCCGACTCGCGGTCACGTTGGGGCCTGGCTGGCGCGGCTGGCCTGGCTGGCCCGGCTTCTTACTTTCCAGATGGAATCTGCATTCCGCCTCCCGAATCGCGGCCCCGGCTCGATGAAAAAAGTTTACCGTCATCGGATGAGAACAGATCACCTTCTAGCGGACCGTCCGAGGGCCCGGCCGTCCGAGCGCCTAACCAGGCCAACCAGGCCAACCAGCCCAACCAGGCCAACCAGCCCACCCAGGCCAAGCCAACCAGGCCAACCAGGCCAAGCCAACCAGGCCAACCAGGCCAACCCGAAGGGTAGGCCAGCCGATGCCTACTGCGGGGTAACGGGCTGGCGGAGACGACGCGAGGTAGCAGAAGAATTTGCGCGCGTGTACACACACCAATACGACCCAAAGTCAACAAAAATGATGAAACCCAAACGTTTTCAAGCTGATTTGAATTTTAAAACACCGGATAAAATCCATAGAACGCAACGTGAGTCCCGGCGGATGGCGATGTCCGCGGTGTCCACACAGCGAGGTGTTGCCTTGGCGCCAGAGGAGCGATGGAGGCTGCCAAAACTCTAGACGCGTTCTGAGCTGCAGAGTCGCTAAACAGGCCTCGAACCGAGCGTATGACCCCACCAATGGATTGCTCTCCGCACGAGGAATCCATTGGTGGGGTCACACGTTCGGTTCGAGGCCTGATTAGCGACTCTGGAGCTCAAAACGCGCATAGAATTTTGACCTGCACCGCGGTCTTCCGGCCCACCGTGGCACGGCGTCGCGCGATGCTGCCAGGCCCCGGCAGATCGCAGGCAGATCGCAGGCAGATCGCAGGCTGCGTGCCACACAAACCGCGACAATGCCGAAACACGCTGCGCTGCCACGCTGCGAGGCGCCACTCTCCTTGGGGAGCGAGCGGGCCGGGGCGGGCCGGGGCCAGACGCCGTGACAGCGTGATGGAAACGTCATGTGCGGTGTGGCGGCATGGCGGTGTCTCGTCCCGGGAGACTTCGCCTGTATCACACGGGCGAGGTGGGTGTAAGGCCGTGGGATCGAATCCCCCCGCCGCCGAGACAAAAGGCAGCGAGGCAGCGAGGCAGCGCGGAGGTGTGGGCACTCTGCGAACCGACGCGAATTCTTTTCCGGCGGCGACACCGGAATTGACGGCGACTAGTATTAAACGTGTAAATTCGTCGGTAATTGGAAGGGCTCCGGCATCGGCCTCGGGGTCCGCCCCGCCCCGCCCCGCCCCGGGCCGTGCCTAATGTCGTTGGCGTTCCTCGCAGCTCGCCGGCTTTGGCGCCGCCATTAGCACGCCCCGCCACGCCTCGCCACGCCTCGCCACGCCCCACCTTCCTGCAATCGGCCGTTCCATTCTGCCGCGGCATCACTTCGGCGAATACGCGTCTTAACAGTGTACGCACGCCGCGTCGAACAAGTGGAGTGCCAAGGCAACGCAACGCAACGCCCTCCTCGGACAGCCGAGGCAAGCCGCCGCCGCCCGCGCTGCGACGGGTAGGCCACGCCGCGGCGCGGATGTCGCGCGGGCTGGCCTACCCTCGCTCCCGCAGGCGCTCCCCGCCGGACCAGCGGACGGGAAATTCTCGCCAACAAAAAAAAATGGTCTGAGGTAGACGAAACACCCTGAGGTAGAGTAGAGTGCCAGTTTAGAGATCCACTTTCGAGAGCCACCCATGAGCGCCCTTTCTAGCGCCCCCTCGAAACGCCGCGTTTGGAGCACCCCCTTTGAGCGCCACCCCCAGTGCAGCGCCCCCAGAACGCCCAGAACGCCGCCACTCCAGCCTCTTAATCGCTACAAGGCCGCACTGCGCTGGGTGGGGCGGGGCGGGGGGGCGGGGCGGGGCGGGGCGGGGCGGGGCGCGGCACAGCACGGCACGGTCCTCCAATGAAAGAGACAGAGGCACGGCTTGCGACTGAGAGTGCGCATCTATCTGCACACAGCCCTTTCTTTGCTCACACAGACGAACACACACACGCGCACACAGCGACGGAAGACACACAACACGGCAACAGAGCCGCGACACTAATTTGCATAAAAGGGTGAGGCAACATCCCTTATTGTCGATGTAAACGATTCAGCAGTGCGAAGCACGCCCCGCGCGCTCGACGGCGTGCTGAGTAGGGGTGGAACGGGGGCGGGCCGTGGTGCTCCCCGCGCACTGCTTCGCCCCGCCCCGCCCGCCCCGCCCCCCGCCCCGCCCCGCCAGGTAGCCGGCGGCGGCTCTTTGCGGCAGTCCGTCGGCCGGCCCGCTCGGCCCGCTTGGTCCGCGCGGCCCTGCCGGCCTAAATCCACAGTCAATCAGAATAAGCCTTCGGAGGTGTGGGGCCGGGCGGGCCGGGCGGGCCGGGCAAGCCAAACGGGCCACAGTGGGCCAGAAGACCGGTGGAGGCGGCCAAAACTCTAGACGCGTTTTGAGCTCCAGAGTCGCTAAACAGGACTCGAACCGATCGTGTGACCCCATCGATGGATTCCTCGTTCGGAGAGCAATCCATTGGTGGGGTCACACGTTCGGTTCGAGTCCTGTTTAGCGACTCTGGAGCTCAACACGCGTCCAGAGTTTTGGCCGCCTCCACCGGTCTTCTGGCCCACTGTGCGGGCCGGGCTCCGGGCGGGCCGGGAATGGAGACGCCTCCTTCAAAGAGACACTCCGGCCGTCGGGGCGAGACGAGACGAGACGGCCCGCGGCCCGTGGCGTGCGTGTGCGCGCGCACGCCTGAGTATGTCTGTGAGCGAGACATCGAGAAAGAGAGAGAGGGAGGAGGGAGGGGGAGAAAGAGAGAGAGCGCGCCAATTTGGCTTTACCTGTTTTGAATTTCCGCCCCCGTTGGCGCCAAAGCCGTTCGCCGCGCCGCGTGGCGGACGCTCGAAATATATTGGCGTTCTCACACCTCTGTGGTAATCTGCATTCATTTATGCATCCTTTCTTTTTTTGTCTTTCCGGCTGGTGTGTCGCACCGTGTCGCACCGTGTCCCGCTGTGTCCCGCAGTGTCGCGCCGTGTCGAGTGTGCAATCGCGCGGCGAGAGCCCCCCGGGTGGTGGATGGGTCGAGCCTTCGCCGCTAATGATAGTACATCCGCAAGACCGGCCGGAACAAGCATCCCTTCCGAACTGCAATCACACTCTTTCCGATTGCGCGCCGATTATTTATCGTGTTGCCGATTATAGGCCAAAATTTTTGCGCTGCCGATTGCGCTGCCGATTGCGCTGCCGATTGCGCTGCCGCGGTTGCACTGCCGGTTGCGCGGGCACGCGACGGCGCCTCGTCACGCCGCGTCACGCCGCGTCACGCCGCCCGATCCATGAGTCCATGATTCATTCATGGCATTGGTGGCTGCCGCGCCGCCACGGCGCCGCCGAACCGCGAAAACCTCCCTCACATATTTATGGCGCGAATAATTCCGCTTGATGATAATGACCGTCCCGGTCGTCCCGGTGGCGGTGCGGTAATCCCCGCACCAGTGCCGCACCGCGAGCCAGTCTATTTGGCGGCCTTTCCAAAAGTCGCCACTGGTAGAGGAGAACACCCCCCGCCCCCACTCCGCCTTCTCGCCGAGTTTGAGCTGACGTGTCAATCAGGCCCTTGACGGCGTGGCGACGAGCCAGCAGCCCCTCGACCCGGCCGCGACACGCACCGGACCGCAACTGATGACTCGGCTCGACGGCCAGGTGTGTTGTGCAAGACCGGAGGCCGGCAGGGCCGCGCCGGGGCCGTGCTGACGACGCCGACCGAGTCGCAGTTGCCAGACGGCGGGGCCGGTCCGGGAAAATTCGGGACTAAACCGGACTATCTGGGAATCCCGAAACTGGCCGGGGCCGGTGGAATTTAGGCAACCGGGCTCAGGGCAAGCGGGGCTGCAACGGGCGGCCTACAAGTCCCCCTGGGCCAAGGGGGGCACCTAAGTGGGGGGGCGGCCGATAGGGGGGCGTCGGCCGGCAATGCCCGGCTTGACGCAGACATGACGGCCGACTGGGGGAGGAGGAGAAAAGGGAAAAGCGGGCCGATGTGGCTTTCGAAGCCGGGCTAAGAGTTACTCGTTCGGCGGCCGTTCGCTGGCAGGGCTCCGCGGCCGGGAAAGACTCCTCGCCGTGCAGCCGTGGAAACACCCCGAGGGGCACGCCGGGTAGAAAGAGACACGGCGGCGGTGGAAGGGGGGCACGGGGCCGCACGGGGCAGGCAAACACTTCGGTCCCTTCCAGTCCAGAATTCCGGCATCACGTGCTGGAGGCAGGACTGGAAGTGGGCCGCCCCGCCGCGCCGCGCGTC